AACTAAGGAGTGGCTCCGTAAGAAGCATCTCAAGGTCCTGGAGTGGCCTAGCCAGTCTCCAGACCTGAACCCAATAGAACATCTTTGGAGGGAGCTGAAAGTCAGTATTGCCCAGCGACAGCCCCGAAACCTGAAGGATCTGGAGAAGGTCTGTATGTAGGAGTGGGCCAAAATCCCTGCTGCAGTGTGTGCAAACCTGGTCAAGACCTACAGGAAACGTATGATCTCTGTAATTGCAAACAAAGGTTTCTGTACCAAATATTAAGTTCTGCTTTTCTGATGTATCAAATACTTATGTCATGCAATAAAATGCAAATTAATTACCGTAATTTTCGGACTATAAGCCGCGCCTTTTTTCCCATTTTTCGACCCCTGCGGCTTATATAACGGTGCGGCTAATCTATGGATTTTTACAGCTAACGGCCACTAGAAGACCTCCTAAATCTATGGATTTTACAGGTTACAGTCCACCAACTTTAACTCTATGGGCTCTATGACCGGTCCGCGCCCCCCACCTTTAAGCGGCGGGCTCCAGCAGGAAAAGCTGGAGGCCGGAAAAGAGTGAGACAGGTAGCGCGCAAAAGTAAAAGTGGAACCGAGAGTGGTACGAGAGACAGAACGAGAGACAGAACGAGAGCAAGACAGACAGACATTACGAGAGCGAGACAGTTTGTGCAAAGGAAGTTTTCATGCACAAACCCTCATTATGGAAAACAAACGTAGAAATGCATATGATGCAGCTTTTAAGTTAAAGGCAGTCAATCTGGCTGTAAAATAAGGAAATAGAGCTGCAGCACGTAGCCTTGGCATCAATGAGTCAATGGTGAGACGTTGGAGACGCCAGCGGGAAGAACTGTCTCAATGCAAAAAGTCAAAAAAAGCTTTCAGAGGTAATAAAAGCAGATGGCCCGAACTTGAAGACTTTCTTGAAGATTGGGTGAACACACAGAGAGCAGACGGCCGAGGTGTTTCCACCGTGCAGATCCGACTGAAAGCTGAAACAGTCGCCACCGAAATGAAAATTGAAAATTTTAGAGGTGGACCATCCTGGTGTTTCAGATTTATGAGACGAAAGGGACTCTCCATCAGGGCGCGGACGACTGTGTGTCAGCAAATCCCTCCCGACTACCAGGAAAAAATAACAAATTTCGGCGAATTCACACAAAGAATGATAGAGGAATATTCCATCGGACCGGACCAGATCATAAATATGGATGATGTGCCTTTGACGTTTGACCTGCCTCTCACTAGGACTGTTAACAAGAAAGGTGAATCGTCCATCACGTTGAGAACCACTGGCCACGAGAGAACGAATTTCACTTGTGTTCTTGGCTGCACAGCATCTGGATTAAAGCTTCCGCCAATGGTGATTTTTAAGCGGATTACAATGCCAAAAGAAAAGATCCTGAACGGCATCTCCTTTAAAGTCAACAAGAAAGGGTGGATGATGGAAAGCGTAATGAATGAATGGCTGAATGAGTGCTACGTCAAGCGCCCTGGAGGATTCTTTCGCCCAAAAAAAGCTTTGCTCGTTTTCCCGACAATCCCCTCTGTGCACGAACCCTTACATATGGTAATTAAACATTAAAACACCTGCGGCTTATAGTCCAGTGCGGCTTATATATGTACACATCATTCAATTTAGCTGCTGCGGCTTATACTCCGGTGCGCCTTATAGTGCGGAAAATACGGTACTTAAAAATCATACAATGTGATTTTCTGGATTTTTGTTTTAGATTCCGTCTCTCACAGTTGAAGTGTACCTATAATAAAAATTACAGACCTCTACATGCTTTGTAAGTAGGAAAACCTGCAAAATCGGCAGTGTATCAAATACTTGTTCTCCCCACTGTATATATATATACACACACACACATATCCTTTTTTAAATTATATTTCCCTTCATTACTTTCCAACCCCACCACCCCTTCCCCAATTGGGGTAAACTAGTGAACAACAACGCTTAGGCCTCTACTTCCAGCCCATACATACTATATACATTTTATGGACACAGTCAAATTCTACAATAATTATATTTTGTTTGTTTTTACTCCTGAACTTCCTCCGATCATTTTCATGATGTCCATCTGGTTTGCTTCTATATGCCACATTTTTCTAACCGTGCTCTTTCACAAAAGCTCTCAACCTATAACCGATATACTTATTATAGTATGCTTTACATTAGTTATCTTGTTGTTATTAGTTGTTGTTATTAGTCCCATCCTTCAGCTCCATTCAACACCTCCCATCTATCTCTTAACACCATCCATATTGGATTTCTATTTACCATATATTTTTCAACTGTACTGTGATGTTTTACAAAAGTTATGAACATTTCTATTCTCATTGTTTCTACAGATCGTAAAATGAAAATAAACATTTTTGCTAAAAGTAATATTATATTATTGATCGATTGACTATGACTTTTCAGATCACCCAGTAGTGCTATCTGCAGGGTTAGCTCCAGGTAAATATTGCAATCCTTTCGCCATTCCTGGACCTGTGTCCAAAAACAAGCTACAAATGGACAGTACCAAAACAAATCTAATGATTATGTCTCTTCGCAGCAAAAGCTGCAGAGCTGGGAAGATTGTATCCCCCAAGCAAGGTGGTCTCTTTGCTAACTAACAACACTGCGGTTTCCAAAACTACTATATTAATTACAAATTTGACATGGGGTTGAACAACATAAGTTAGCTGACTAGCAACATAAACAAAGAAGAAAACCAAGGAATGTGTGCATGATGAGGAGGGCGAATTCAAATTGATAGCTAACATTAACTAGTAGCTGACTATGCTAGTTAGCTAACGTTAGATAGCTGGTTACCTACCTTCTCAGATGCTAGCTGGCTTAGCTAGCTATTTCTTCTTTCTTCAAAGGCATTGATAACATTGCTGATGATACACGCAGATGTTCCAGTATTATTTTGGATGTGTGAAAAACGTATAATATAATAAACGCGTTAGCATTAAGCATCGAGCCAACTTGACCCATCACTTGCTAGCAGCCCAATTGACACTGACAGCTAAATTGCCTCGACTGTAAATATCGAATTCATACAGTAGACAGGTTTCATTCAATTTACATTTGCACGCAAAACTAACATCATTTTTGCAACCCACGGCTACATTTGTTTTTCTGCCATTATGGAGTCTATCATCTGCTGCAGCTACATATCATATCACCATTGGAGACCATTTCCCTGTTTATCGCGAGCTCTTCGGAGATTGCTTCTCAACCAATGTAAAACAGCTGAAGCGGTGGAAGGTGGGACCTTTCTCACAATTATCCAATAAGCAATGGCCCATATATGAGAAGGGTTAGGCGACACACCCATTTTGTTTTCGTAAATGCTGCTACACGCCACAGACTTTCGAAAAACTATTTGATATATGGTAGAAAAGGAGAAGAAAGAAAGGAGCTAAGTGTTGACTATGGTAATTGCCAGTGATGTATTTACATATGTTATAAAATCTCTAAGAAAGTGGGGAGACAAACAGTAACAATGTTGTGAAATCTTATTCTCCCCATGCATTGCTACCTTCCATGTGCAAAATCAAGGTTACTTATATCAACTATGCCATGCTCAAAACTGTACTGAAATGTGGACTTTCCAATGAAAATGCCTTATTCTGAAGCCTAATTTGAACCTGAGGGAGAAATTGACCCACATACTAAATACAGAACGCGTGGACAGAAGTGGAGTTGCCTTCTGTAAATGTGGGGCAAAATTAATGAGCCATTTTTTTATGTCCCCAGTGAACCTGAATAAATGTAAGTCTTCCATTCAGGCTAGCCCCATCGAGACACCTCATCCCATTTTCTGGAGGATCCTCTGGTATCAAGCCTGGCTGCCTAGCTAACCACTGTGAGCCTTGGGGAATAGGCAGTCAAAGGCATGAATAAAGAAAGTACAGCTTAATTTTCTCCCAAACATGTGATAGGTGAAAGCAATATGGTGGACGCTTACACGCAATCTACATACACTCGTGACCCGTCCAATTCTATTAGATCAATGCAAATGAGTTAGAGACTAGGAGAGATGAGTTACATAGCCACAGAAGGCTTCAGAGCAGCCACTTAAGTAGTCATGGTTTGAATAAAAAGAATACATCTTAAAAGTGCAACCTAAGAAAGACACTAAACAATTTTATGCTTTTATGTCCAATTTGCTTTTTTTATTTTTTTACAGTTACAGCTTTTCTTCTTAGAAATTGGGTGTCAATTAATTTTTAGCACCAATTCTGAGGCTGAATGTAAAGTTTAGCTTACTTCCACCATACCCATTTTAACTGTAGAGAAGATTCTTAGAATTGGGATATGGTTCCAAAGTAACCCCCTGACTGCTGTGCAGTGCCCCATTCTATCTATACAACTCTGGTAAACATTTTCACCACAAGATGTCAGTAGCAAGTCATTTGCAGCAGGCAATGAAGACTACTCTACATGATTTAGGCTAGATTTGAGTGTATTTACTGTTAACGAGCAACATTTCCTGTAAATTAATTTTGAACAAGCAGAACATCAGCATTATGGGTGGAAATGGTGTGAGGGAAACACTCCTGATGGATTTGAGTTCCTGGGGTTTATTCACTTAATGGCAATTAAATACACCAGCAATAGACACTGTAAAACAAGGCTATTCTTATAAGTTACATTTCCATAATAAATAGTGATGTGCCATTCAGTTTAAAAGTTGACAAATATACACATACTTGTTTACAAATCTCTTAGAGACTCAGCAGTCAGTCACAGTTGATTACAGTGTTAAAGTAGAGTACATATTATGTCTGTGTGACAGCAGAGAGTGATGTTGAAGTATTACAACCAGGGGCTTATTCAGGTGATTAAAATGTTCAATGGATTGCAGATAGAAAAGGCATGTAATAGAGCAAATACCATGCGGTAATCAGATCCAACTGTTAAGTGTCCCTAAAACATATACAAAAGTATCTGCATTGTTCTGAGCATTTCACCCTACTGAACATTCCCCAGGTATCATCCATCTTTCACAATTACTTCTATGATGTACAACATGCCACAATCCATATCAGCAGTTCACTGGCATTTTGTACATAACACAGTAACTTGCATCTTGGTCAAACTTTAGGTTTCACAGATTGTAACAAGTACCACTCTATCTGAAGAATAAATAAATGTTAGGATGCCGTTCCCAGATCTGTTGCAAAATTAAAAGTCTGTGGCAAAATGGGGAAAAAACAGCATAAATAGCGTATTAAGTTGAAGTCCTCTATTTATCCTTTGTTTCACTAGGCTGGCATCCTCTTGAATATTTTACGACCATTTGAAATGTGATTATAATGAAATTACAGGGCCACATACTGTATATTAGCAAGCTTATGGATAAGTTCTCACGTTTAGCTCAAGTAGTATCATTGCCTTGACTTCTTTTTACAGCCAGATAATTCTGTACCATCAAACTCGCAAATCAAATTAGAAAAATAGCAGCAGTGCACCAAGGAAGGCTTACAAACAATGAAACAGTGTTTGATCAAGTTAAACAGTGACAGTGTTAATTAAGGAGTGTTATGGGCTCTGCCTTTCCTAATGCCATAGGGAGTTATTGTTTATCCAACGTTAATATATTACAATGCAAACTTACCATTATACTGCCTCCCAATAATATTGTTATTATCCCCCACTAATACATATGTAACTGAAAGAAGAAATTCCCTTTTAATGCATTGTTCATTTAGGGACATACATGATAATTTCCCTATTGTAGTACACATTGTAGTTTGCTGCACCAGCAAACCAGCACCATGGATCAAACATTTAAAAAATCATGCCCTGCGATTCCATGGTATAACAAGAAGCATTCTTCTGCATTACTTTGCCTCATGGGCATACTAGATGAGTAGTAAGCGGAGGTTTTCCTGGTCAGGTCACATTATCAGGAAAAACTAGGTCCAAACTTGAATACATACAGTGAGGGCTCTTGGTCCTACTGACACATAATTGCGATCTAAAATGAATGAGAGAAGTTAAAAGTACCTTAATTCATAATTTCCTCTCAGTTAAGTCTGATGATTAAGCGTTCTATATTAGCATTCAAAATATTAGTTGAGACCACACATTGGGGCATACTCACATATAAGAACTTGCTTAAGACCTTAGGTTTTGGATGACATTCATCCTTTTTTCCCCCTGTTGCGCACAATTAGACTGCAGCCTAGTCCCATGGTGGTGACTCAAGAAGGCTAGGCGCAAAGCACATGCAAACAGAGTATAGAATTCTGAAGAGTTCATACTGCAAGGTGCAGGAGTCAGCATTTCCCAAATTCACTAGCAGCTATCTAAAAATAACATACCCCTTTCCTCAGCATGACAAGGTGGAGAAGTAATCTTACAGTTTCAAGGTGTGCCATCTGTGTCAGTGCAGCGGGGATGTAGAGGAGTGCAGACTAGGGCCTAATGCCAACTCAGCCATACATAGCGTGAGGCCATCTGATCTGAAGAGGGCTAGTCTAAAAGGAGTATGTGTATGCAGGAGCATTGTATAGACTTGGTTCCATTAAAGGTCACTTAACCCTTTTCCTCAAACTTAGTCCTTCCTTTTTATCTATTAATGCTTAATTTAACCATGCTGAGATATTAAGATCTGTGAAAGGGCAAAAAATGGGGCAAAATGGACAAAAGCCTACTTTGCTTACAGTGTGTGAGAATGTTTAAAAGGGTAGCAGTAGAGACACGAGGGGGCTGCCATTTCCTGAACCTCGCCATAGTAAAGAGCCAATGACGGGATCAGAGAGGCGGGATCGTTAGTTCAAGAAGCCCTCTGTTGCCTCCCATTCTGGAGAGATATTACCCAGCAAACACCTGGGGCGTCAGTGGCAGCGGCAGCCGGTCGTTTTCCACGTTGTCCGAGTCGATGGCAGAGAGGGCAGGCGGGCGGATCTCCAACGGGTACTTCTCCAGTATTTCCTGCACCTCTCGCTCCACACTCTCCTGCCAGGTGATCAGGTCACTCTGCAGGCTCCGCGCCCCCTCCAGAACCCTTTCCTGCCGGCTCCCCAGGCCTGACAGGAGATCCAGGTTCTGGTAGACCTGGGCCAGGGCGGGTCTGGAAGCGGCAGTGTCCATCTGGGGCCAGCTACTGCCCACCTCAGGCCTGCGAGGGGAGGCCTGGCCCGACATGTAGCGCTCAAAGTCCTCAGGGTCCAAGTTGAGGGACTGGGCGTCCAGTTTTTCGATGAAAGCAACTGCACAGCACTAAAACAGAGAGAGGACACAGGAGGTGAGCTATGAACCAACAGAGTGTGTGCTTGGTTCTCATCAACTTGGTGTGGGCATGAGGGAGTGGTATGAGGTGGCACAGAGACACGTACCAGGTTAGTGAAGTAGTATCCGTCCTCTCCGGTCATGAGCCTGCTGGGGTTGCAGAAGCGGGTGATGTACTGGATGTTGGACTGCAGGCGTGGAGGGTTGGCCTTCAGTACGATGTAGATTAGGGTGGGCAGGAAGTCGTCTGCCGAGGCTGGCTCGCTCTTGGTGATCTTGATGGCGCTAAAGATGTGCTTGCTGCAGCGCGTGATGCACGCTAGCTTGTCCCTTGGTACCCGCTTGGAGTCCATCTCAATGACGTCTGTGATGCAACACACAATTCACAATCCTGTCCACACTAACAAGATTTCAATTACTGTGTTTCCTAATTTTTTGTACAACCGAGAACAGACTTATAGCATACTCAGGCTGCAGAGTATGCTACACCTAGATGTACTAGTGCCCCAGTTTAAAACACTGGTGAAAAACTCTGTTCAGGAGATGTGTAAATGTTTCCTGTAGGTCAGATCATGTTGTTGTGCTGACTGTATTGTATGTTTTAAATTGTGTAATGTTGTATTGACTGCTGCTGCCTTCTTGGCCAGGTCTCCCTTGCAAAAGAGACTGTGTCTCAATGGGCTTTTCCTGGTTCAATAAAGGTAAAAAAACTAACAAAAAAGGCAACACACTGCAGAGTCCTCTGAACACTACCCATGATTTAAAGAGGATAAAGAGACGAGTTTTGGTTGAGTCCTAATGGGATCCTGTGTGACACCATCCATGACTCACCTGTTATGGCTTTGACCACGTTGTCTGACACCTCTGGGATCTCCTCATCCACTGGCACACAGAGCATCTGAATGTCCACCCAGTGTAATGCCCTATACAACCAATACAGTGGTGGGTGAGAGAGTGACAAACACCCACAGTGACACAAACACAAAGGGTCATTACCATGCACATTGACAGATAAGGTAGGATAATTGCATGCATGTCTGCCCACAGTGACAAACACCCCAATTCATAAACAAATCAATAAAACGGCTCATCTTTCAGGCAGAAAATGGTAGTCCTTACCGTATCCTGTTCTGAGTGGCCAGGTCTTTCTTCTCATCATCTGTGGTCTCGGGGCAGAAGACGCTCTTATATAGGCGAGTCATAATGTACTTCTCCACCTCGTCCATCACTTGCTCAACACGCTCTGTAGAGCCTGGAAGGAAAACTTGTCTTCATTACATCTAGTGCATATATAAACATTATACAGTTGATATATTAGTTGTATGCCTATTAAAAACACAAAAACTACGTTTTAAATGAGAAGTAGGCATTGGTCTGAAGCCATAAAATAAAATAAAATAAAATTCACCTGAGCGCCACAATGCCTACTTCACCTATGCTCTACCAAGGTTTTCCAGCACACAGCTTTGACCTACAGTAGCTATGTTGGTCTATTGTACTTGCTTAGGATTCAAACCTTCTCAAACAGCCTAATTCATACTCTAAGAGGAGGTGCTCCCACAATAATGTGATTTGTACCACATACAAAATACAGTATTGCATGCTTTCCAACTCACACAAAGACATTGTCCCATTCCACTACATTTCAAACTTGTATACGTATAAGACCATCAGGTTTGATTGAGTGAGCTTTTTCTTCTTCTTTAAAAAAGAAATGGTGGTACCTGCCTGTTGTTCTTTGCCATTTAAATTGTAATTTATTTAAACCTTTATTTGAGCAATATACACTACCGGCCAAAAGTTTTAGAACATCTACTCATTCAAGGGTTTTTCTTTATTTTTACTATTTCCTACATTGTAGAATAATAGTGAAGACATCAAAACTATGAAATAACACATATGGAATCATGTAGTAACCAAAACAGGAAATATTTTATATTAGGAGATTCTTCAAATAGCCACCTTTTGCCTTGATGACAGCATTGCACACTCTTGGCATTCTCTCAACCAGCTTCACCTGGAATGCTTTTCCAACAGTCTTGAAGGAGTTCCCACATATGCTGAGCACTTGTTGGCTGCTTTTCCTTCACTCTGCGGTCCAACTCATCCCAAACCATCTCAATTTGGTTGAGGTCGGGGGATTGTGGAGGCCAGGTCATCTGATGCAGCACTCCATCACTCTCCTTCTTGGTCAAATAGCCCTTACACAGCCTGGAGGTGTGTTGGGTCATTGTCCTGTTGAAAAACACATGATAGTCCCACTAAGCCCAAACCAGATTGGATGGCGTATCACTGCAGAATACTGTGGTAGCCATGCTGGATAAGTGTGCCTTGAATTCTAAATAAATCACAGACAGTGTCACCAGCAAAGCACCCCCACACCATAACACCTCCTCCTCCATGCTTTACAGTGGGAAATATACATGCAGAGATCATTCGTTCACCCAAACCGCGTCTCACAAAGACACGGCACAAAAATCTCCAATTTGGACTCCAGACCAAAGGACACATTTCCACCCGTCTAATGTATATTGCTCGTGTTTCTTGGCCCAAGCAAGTCTCTTCTTCTTATTGGTGTCCTTTAGTAGTGGTTTATTTGCGGCAATTCGACCATGAAGGCCTGATTCACACAGTATCCTCTGAACAGTTGATGTTGAGATGTGTCTGTTACTTGAACTCTGTGAAGCATTTATTTGGGCTGCAATTTCTGAGGCTGGTAACTCTAATGAACTTATCCTCTGCAGCAGAGGTAACTCTGGGTCTTCCATTCCTGTGGCGGTCCTCATGAGAGCCAGTTTCATCATAGCGCTTGATGGTTTTTGCGACTGCACTTGAAGAAACTTTCAAAGTTCTTGAAATGTTCCGGAATTGACTGACCTTCATGTCTTAAAGTAATGATGGACTGTCGTTTCTCTTTGCTTATTTGAGCTGTTCTTGCCATAATATGGACTTGGTCTTTTACCAAATAGGGCTATCTTCTGTATACCCCCCCCTACCTTGTCACAACACAACTGATTGGCTCAAACGCATTAAGAATTAAAGAAATTCCACAAATTAACTTTTAAGAAGGCACACCTGTTAATTGAAATGCATTCCAGGTCACTACCTCATTAAGCTGGTTGAGAGAATGCCAAGAGTGTGCAAAGCTGTCATCAAGGCAAAGGGAGGCTATTTGAAAAATCTCAAATATATATATTTTGATTTGTTTAACACTTTTTTGGTTACTACATGATAAGTGTTATTTCATAGTTTTGATGTCATCACTATTATTCTACAATGTAGAAAATAGTACAAATAAAGAAAAACCCTTGAATGAGTAGGTGTTCTAAAACGTTTTGACCGGAAGTGTGTGTCATTGAGAAATATATATATTTCATAACAACATCCTTTTTTGGTCAGTAGGTGTGCAACATAACAGGTGGTGGTGTGTTGGACACAGTTACTCATATAGATAGAGAGGTCTATAGAATCTGTCCAGATTTCTGTAACCATTAGCTAATCTTTGTAATATTGACATAAGCTCAAAACCACTTGTTTTGCAAACATGGTCCTGTTTTATCAATTGCTGTGCTGATCAATGGTCAGTTCCTTAACTCTGTCAAATGAATATGTAGCTTAAGTTGTTTGTATTTGTATATATTTTTGCAGTAAAGATGGTGACGCTACAATAAAACACATTTAGGCCTACTATAGGCATATATACTATACGCCTAAATCTAAAAATACATATAGACTAAAGATATATACACTCGCATTATTTTAATAGAAGGACAATGTAAAGTCCATTTTTCCTCTGAAGAGTATGAATTAGGCTGTTTGAGAAGGTTTGAATCCTAAGCAACCTGCATACACATTGTTTGAAGTATAATAGACCAACATAGCTACTGTAGTAGGTCAAAGCTGTGTGCTGGAAAACCTTGGTAGAGCATGGGTGAAGTAGGCATTGTGGCGCTCGTGAATTTCATTTATTTTTCGGCTTCAGACCAATGCCTACTTCTCACTTAAAATGTAGTTTGTTTTTAATTTCCATGGTTTCTATGCCGGAAGGGGATTTCTGTTAAAAAGGTGCATTACACAACATTTCCACATGAAAAGCCAGATGTTTTTGAGCAACCAAAAGTTTGCTGCTTCAGTGTTTTTAGATATTTTTGTCAGATGTTACTATGGTATACTGAAGTATAATTACAAGCATTCCATAAGTGTCAAAGCTTGGAGTTTGTCAGAATTTGTGGGTTTTTGTTTGTCCACCCGCCTCTTGAGGATTGACCACAAGTTCTCAATGGGATTAAGGTCTGGGGAGTTTCCTGGCCATGGACCCAAAATTACGATGTTTTGTTCCTCGAGCCAATTAGTTATTTTGCCTTATGGCAAGGTGCTCCATCATGCTGGAAAAGGCATTGTTCGTCACCAAACTGTTCTTGGATGGTTGGGAGAAGTTGCTCTTGGAGTATGTGTTGGTACCATTCTTTATTCATGGCTGTGTTCTTAGGCAAAATTGTGAGTGAGCCCACTCCCTTGGCTGAGAAGCAACCCCACACATGAATGGTCTCAGGATGCTTTACACAGGACTGATGGTAGCGCTCACCTTGTCTTCTCCGGACAAGCTTTTTTCTGGATGCCCCACACAATCGGAAAGGGGATTCATCAGAGAAAATGACTTTACCCCAGTCCTCAACAGTCCAATCCCTGTACCTTTTGAGCAAGAGGACAAATACATTAGAGTGTCTAGTTTGAGAAAGAGACGCCTCACAGGTCCTCAACTGGCAGCTTCATTAAATAGTACCCGCAAAACACCAGTCTCAACGTCAACAGTGAAGAGGCGACTCTGGGATGCTGATCTTCTAGGCAGAGTTGCAAAGAAAAAGTCCAGTGTCTGTGTTCTTTTGCCCATCTTAATCTTTTATTTTTATTGGCCAGTCTGAGATTTGGCTTTTTCTTTGCAACTCTGCCTAGGTCAGCATCCCGGAGTCGCCTCTTCACTGTTGACGTTGAGACTGGTGTTTTGCGGGTACTATTTAATGAAGCTGCCAGTTGAGGACCTGTGAGGCGTCTGTTTCTCAAACTACACACTCAAATGTATTTGTCCTCTTGCTCAGTTGTGCACCGGGGCCTCCCACTCCTCTTTGTATTCTGGTTAGAGCCAGTTTGCGCTGTTCTGTGAAGGGAGTAGTATACAGCGTTGTACGAGATCTTCAATTTCTTGGCAACTTCTCGCATGGAATAGCCTTCATTGCTCAGAACAAGAATAGACTGACGAGTTTCAGAATAAAGTTATTTGTTTCTGGACATTTTGAGCCTGTAAATCGAACCCACCATTGCTGATGCTCCAGATACTCAACTAGTCTCAAGAAGGCCAGTTTTATTGCTTCTTTAATCAGCACAACAGTTTTCAGCTGTGTTAACATAATTGCAAAAGGGTTTTCTAATGATCAATTAGCCTTTTAAAATGATAAACTTGGATTAGCAAACACAACGTGCCATTGGAACACAGGACTGATGGTTGCTGATAAATGGGCCTCTGTACGTCTATGTAGATATTCAATAAATTAAAAAAATCAGCTGTTTCCAGCTACAATAGCCATTTACAACATTAATGTCTACACTGTATTTAATGGACCAAAAAATTGCTTTTCTTTCAAAAACAAGGACATTTCTAAGTGACCCCAAACTTTTGAACGATAGTGTATTTAAAAAAAAAAGTTATACAAGTATAAACTACCAAAGTTACCATAGATTGCCATATATTTTCTGTTAATTACCACATTTACATAAGATCCCGGTAACATTTGTAAATTACCAGTAGCTTTGCAACCCTAATTGTGACAGTCTTATATTTTACAATGTGACTCATAATTCCCATTGAAAGCAAAGTAAAAGAAAACAGCTTTAAGTCATTATCTTTTGAAGGTCGTATAGCTCAGCCATAGAGACTAAACAAAGATATCCCCATGTACACTAGAGCCGCATCTTTCTTGTGCCTTTTACAGCTTGTCTCTAGCCTAAAGCGGAGTTATAAATCGTTCTATATCAATTTATTTACTCCTCCCGCCCCTAGAATAGCCCTTTGTGGCGGCGTTATTGACAAATAGTGTACCCAACACATGGGCTAGACAAGCATCCAGATCGGAGCTGTCAAGTACAAGACTCTCAAATGGCATTAATGATAGTTTGGCACTGTTGATCAGTGCACATTTGGATTAAAATGTCAAGAAGACAGGAGAGGGAGCGTACTGGAATTTATTCTGGATGTTTGAAATAGCAATGCTTCTCTGGTGAGGTTTCTGATTGTAGCGAGTATGCATTTGCCCACTGCAGTGCACAACAGAGGTGTTGTTTACATGTGCATTGGGGGTTTAACATAGCTAGCTAGCAATATGTTTTCTCAGCTACAGTTTGAGTTGTGTATTGACTGGTCTCTTGGTTGATCTTGGTCAAGGAAATGTAGCTAGCTGCAGTGTTTGCCCTGTCTGACACTAAAATGTGGCTAGCTCTTACCGTAGCTTGGACTATGGAGTGTTGGAAAGCCTATTGTGTGCATTGTAAGGTAGCAATGTGACAATTTGCCCAAAGTTTAGTGTTGGTTTTTAACTGATTTAGCGAGCTATCTAGCTTTTGTGGAAGAATGTAGGACTGGCATTTGGATGTGAGCTAGCTAAAGTTAGCTAGCTTCTATGTGAAGGAGGTCAGCTGTCGTTGTAGGGAACAATTGAGCCAGACGTATTCACCCCCACAATAAAATAGCACACAGAGTGAGGAACAGATGAGATATGGCAGACATATCAGACACCGACATGTCACATATTTAACATGATTACACGTAATCCGTTCCGTAATTTGATTACAAAAAAATGAACTAATCACTTACGTTACCAGCAAAAATATTGTAATCAGATTAGATACTTTTGAAAAACTATATGATTACTTATTGGATAACTTTTAAATATAAAAAATACATCTTTGTTTTCTCAATGACATTCAATTCAGCATTGAAAAAAGGCGCAAGTTTAAGTTTTTCCGCCTGAGCGAGTCTGACCACAAGTCAATGACCACTACAATGACACACCAAATGCATTTGATGGATAATTTTAGTCTTCTTCTAATGCCTCTTAAGGGGAAAGTAATTAAAAAGTAACAGAAAGTAATCAGATTACGTTACTGATTACAATTTGACAGGTAACTACTAACTGTAACGGATTACATTTAGAAAGTAACCTACCCAATCCATCACAGGGTATCTATTTGGTATCATAAGTCTAAAAGTCCTGAAATCTACCAAACACATGTTTCCCATATCAGAGGATCCAGAGATAAGACTTTAGCCTTTGATATGACTGAAAGGACTTACATTTACATTTTAGTAATTTAGCAGACACTCTTATCCAGAGCGACTTACTTAGAGTCAAATAGGCTTATTTACATTTTAGACCTCACTTTTATATTTACAGTAGATATTAATATATATTTATTTTTGCAAATGAAACCAAAGGCATTGTGTAAAATCTCAGACACACCGGTAGAATTGCCAAATGTTTGCCTGCCGACAGTACTTAGCACCTCTGAACAGATAGGTGGTGGGCCGTAGCAAGCTATCCGCTTTAGTTTTCGAGATGATCGATCTTTGTCGAGGGAGGAGCTATTAAAAAAATAAATACATCTTGTGTATATTTATTTATTCTGAACACATTTCTGTTTGTTGGCAATGTCAGTTCTTGCACTTTTATGTTTGCTAGCTGGACAAGCAAATGCCGGCGAGTACTAAACTGTAAACTAATCAAAAACTTGTGTACTCTCTGTTGATCACGTCTGCCAATCACGTTATCCGTGTCTAAGGTAGCAGACACAGCTGGTGACATCTTGAGAGAGATCTCCATCCGACAAACTGCTCAGGTAAAGGCTTTATTTTTTATCAAACTATTTAGTTATAGAAACATGATACCATCAATGCAAGCTGTAAAATGACTCCTGACATAGAACACAGCAACCTTAGTAATTTTGCTAGCTTTCTTAGCTAGCTAGTTACAACAAGTAGATATGTTGCTAGTAGCTAGCAGGAGCAGATGGCGTTATCACTAGCTAGCATGTCATTCCAGGACAAGGAGCGTTTTGGCTTTCAGTTGATTCCAAGTAATACTTTAAGACTACAAAAATATATAGGACAAGTAGTGTAAATCTAGTACAGTCATCAAGGCAAGACCCATTAATGTCATACTGACAAATAAGAAATGCTACATTATCCCTGTCAATAGTTGGAGTAGGATGATTGCAGAGCACCCTGCCTCAGACTGTCAGGATGTTCATTTTCTAGCTCACAAACTACATTCCTTTGCGGTGATGATTTCTTTGATTCATTATTTTCTCTCACTTTTGTCTCACATGATCTATTCAGCTCTCCTGTGTCCTGCTCCCAGAGATCAACCAAGTGCTGTTTAGCAAGCATGGGCTGATTCACTCACCTGTGAGGAGAACCATCCTACTGCAGTCACTATTTAGACATTGAGACCACATATGCATTTGCCTGTTGCCTTTTCTGGATTTTGTCTTACACAGTCTAGTGCATTTTAGAGTTGAAGAACACCCATTACAGATACACGTTCTTGTTTGAGCATCTTTATTCATTATTGTCGCTCACTTATCTCTCCCATGGTCTATTCACCAAGTCCTGCAGTTTGAATTAGCCCTGCCGTCACTATTTAGACATTGAGACCACATATAGTGAGGGGGAAAAGTATTTGATCTCCTGTTGATTTTGTACGTTTGCCCACTGACAAAGACATTATCAAAATATAATTGTAATGGTAGGTTTATTTGAACAGTGAGAGACAGAATAACAACAAAAAAATCCAGAAAAACGCATGTCAAAAATGTTATAAATTGATTTGCATTTTAATGAGGGAAATAAGTATTTGACCCCTCTGCAAAACATGACTTAGTACTTGGTGGCAAAACCCTTGTTGGCAATCACAGAGGTCAGACGTTTCTTGTAGTTGGCCACCAGGTTTGCACACATCTCAGGAGGGATTTTGTCCCACTCCTCTTTGCAGATCTTCTCCAAGTCATTAAGGTTTCGAGGCTGACGTTTGGCAACTCGAACCTTCAGCTCCCTCCACAGATTTTCTATGGGATTAAGGTCTGGAGACTGGCTAGGCCACTCCAGGACCTTAATGTGCTTCTTCTTGAGCCATTCCTTTGTTGCCTTGGCCGTGTGTTTTGGGTCATTGTCATGCTGGAATACCCATCCACGACCCATTTTCAATGCCCTGGCTGAGGGAAGGAGGTTCTCACCCAAGATTTGACGGTACATGGCCCCGTCCATCGTCCCTTTGATGCGGTCAAGTTGTCCTGTCCTCTTAGCAGAAAAACACCCCCAAAGCATAATGTTTCCACCTCCATGTTTGACGGTGGGGATGGTGTTCTTGGGGTCATAGGCAGCATTCCTCCTCCTCCAAACACGGCGAGTTGAGTTGATGCCAAAGAGCTCGATTTTGGTCTCATCTGACCACAACACTTTCACCCAGTTCTCCTCTGAATCATTCAGATGTTCATTGGCAAACTTCAGACGGGCCTGTATTTGTCCTTTCTTGAGCAGGGGGACCTTGCAGGCGCTGCAGGATTTCAGTCCTTCACGGCGTAGTGTGTTACCAATTGTTTTCTTGGTGACTATGATCCCAGCTGCCTTGAGATCATTGACAAGATCCTCCCGTGTAGTTCTGGGCTGATTCCTCACCGTTCTCATGATCATTGCAACTCCACGAGGTGAGATCTTGCATGGAGCCCCATGCCGAGGGAGATTGACAGTTATTTTGTGTTTCTTCCATTTGCGAATAATCGCACCAACTGTTGTCACCTTCTCACCAAGCTGCTTGGCAATGGTCTTGTAGCCCATTCCAGCCTTGTGTCGGTCTACAATCTTGTCCCTGACATCCTTGGAGAGCTCTTTGGCCTTGGCCATGGTGGAGAGTTTGGAATCTGATTGATCGATTGCTTCTGTGGACAGGTGTCTTTTATACAGGTAACAAGCTGAGATTAGGAGCACTCCCTTTAAGAGTGAGGGAAAAAAGTATTTGATCTCCTGCTGATTTTGTACGTTTGCCCACTGACAAAGAAATGATCAGTCTAAAATGATGGACTGATCATTTCTTTGTCAGTGGGCAAACGTACAAAATCAGCAGGGGATCAAATACTTTTTTCCCTCACTGTATGCATTTGCCGGTTGTCTTTTTATATAATTCTACAGGCTCTTTATCATTCTCCATATCTTCCAATGCATCCAACATTATGCATGCCCCCCATGGTATTGGGCAGCTGCTATTTGAAAACTCATCTGGTTTAGAAATCAAACTCTGGTTATCTTATTGCAGAGCACATTGTACAACTGTTTTTAGAGAAGATTGTATTGCAATGAATGCTATATGTGTAAGCTATGCCATATGTATTGGCTAATATGCATCTGCAGCTGTCGTTTTTAAACCTCTATTCTAGCATACAAGACACACATCTTCCTATCTACATGATTTTATTTGGGTTTCTATGCAAAGTATATGATTGAATGTTTCATTAAGCCTGCAGCTAGTTACTTTAAATTAGACATATAATCATGCCAAAATATGATTCAACAATTGAACTCACTGAGAGATAGCTAATGAAACACAAATTGACATTCACAGTAGCTGGCTAGGCTAGTCTAATATTGTCTAGCTTTCAATAAATTGCATAAATGGTCAAAGGAGTTACCTCTTCAGTGCACTCGAAAAAATATTATTATTATTTCAGTCTGGTAGCTAGCTATATCTGTTCCTCTTCATCAGACAACAGCTCGCGTTTTCTGATTGGTTCCAAGTTTAGTCGTTCGACAAATTTGCCTGAGGGGCCGAGTTTTTAAATATACTTTTTATGAGAAGATGTGCAAGAATTGAAGGTGCCAACAAATGTTATAGTCATCATAAGAATGTTTTACGGTCATATCCAAAAAAAAATCTGCTCCTCCCTCGACAGGGATCGATCAACTAAACATTTTAAAGCTTCGGCCCACCACTTAAGAGTGTTGGCAGTCAATCTCTTTTGTGTTCACACAGCAAAAATCTTGGAAGTTGTCAGCCACTCAGCCTTGTTAAAATACTCCAAACCAGAAGGTGGCAGTAGTGTTGCTTGCCAATGCATTACCGTGCGTATTGCTTATGGTCTACATTCCAAGCTATCTGCGCTAATGTTGCTATTTTGTAGAAAGCCCTTGTTGATACTAGCCAGATGACTACAGCTAGATAACTACCTAGCAAGATGACGTAGGAACAATTTAATTCACTTTCCATAATCCCATACTGCCAGTGCCAGCCCATAGCCAAATGTTTAGCTAGCTAACGTTAGAATATTCGCTAGCTAGCACAACATAGCTAGCTAAGGACACTGCACTAACACAGGCAGCTGTTTCATGGAAATTGTTTTATAATGTCACTACTAGTGGTTAGCTAGCTTGGAGGAAGTATTTAGTGTTGTGTGCATTGCGTCTGTTCACTTAGCTAGCTACCATCCCATACATTGCATATGAAGTTTGACTTGCTCATCCATGAATGTACGGAGAAAATGCCCTATTTTTTTTTGTTGGCTACCCCACGTGGGGGTTCGTGCTCTCTGATTGGCTCAAAGTGAAGTTGTTCGCTACTGACGAACATTGCAATTCTACAAATAGAATCGTTAGGTTCGTCATTACCGGGTCGGCATGTAGCAGCTACCGCTTTTGTTCTAGCAAGAGAAGGAATGGCCTCCCACTGTGATAAGTACCTATCGGCAGTGAGATTCTCGGTGTGTTTCATGCTTAAGCCTTCGAAAAGACCAACAGAACACTATTGTGCAGTAGAATACACTATTCTCCATTAATTGAAACCACACATTGGGACACAGTTTGGTAACATTTTGTGAATGCATTGTATTTATATTTTTGTGGTGCATTTTGTTACGTACAGTGTGATATCTTGTATTCCTTTATGGCAGATTGAGTCATGTTTGAACCCACCTTTAAAATGGGTCATGAGGCGGTCGGACATGTTCTGGTAGAAGTCTTGGACACACTCAGACAGCTCATCAGCACCTAAGTCCTGAGAGGTCAGAGGTCATCCCAGGTATTTGTCAATATATGTCAATGTCTGGACGATATAAGAGGAACTACATACCATAACATACCAAAATTGCATGTTCCAGATCAAATGTGATAGCTTGAAATAACAACTTTTAAATCTTAACATAACAGCTCAGTGTGTCTGTTTATATAATTGCATTCCTTTTCTACAACAGATATACCATAGACAAAACACAAAAGGGCTGACACGGTTCTGTGAAGCCATGTACAACAGAACTACTGATCTAACCAATAAATCAATAAAAGCACTATATTTTTCCAAACAAGAGAGAGCATTGGAGTGTTTTGCCATATAAAAACAGCAATATTCCATTACAAAACATACACATAAAAGCTATTCTTTCAGTTTAGATTTTCAAGGCTGACCTTTGTTGAAAAAACAGAAAAACCTACACACTGCTGCATATGCTCCCATTTAGTTTATTGCAAAGTTTCAGCTGGACGAAGACCTTCTGGTGAAAATGTTACAACAAAAATGTTACACACAAGCATAAATTGTGCAGGTATTTCTATTCTTTTCAGATTATATATTTTTTACCCTGTGCTTGGAAAATCGTTGAATGAGCATTCACAGACTTGTTTTCAACTGACCTTTTTGTTGGCCATGATCTCGATGAAGGCTCTGCTCTGCTTGTGGATCTCGCGGCCTGGCTTCTGCAGGATCTTCAGGAAGTCCACAAAGTCTCTGGATACGCGGTCAGTCTCGATGCTGGACTGGCGGCTGATGGAGGGGCTGGGGGTCTTGCCCTCCTGGTTCTCTGAGGGGAGGACACCATGACTTGTGTTTTTTGAAATGTTTCCCCATGCCTTACATTTTTTTTTTTTTTTACATTTTAGTCCAGAGCGACTTACAGTTAGTGAGTGCATACATTATTTATTTTTATTTTTCATACTGGCCCCCCGTGGGAAACGAACCCACAACCCTGGCGTTGCAAACGCCATGCTCTACCAACTGAGCTACATCCCTGCCGGCCATTCCCTCCCCTACCCTGGACGACGCTGGGCCAATTGTGCGCCGCCCCATGGGTCTCCCGGTCGCGGCCGGCTATGACAGAGCCTGGATTCGAACCAGGATCTCTAGTGGCACAGCTAGCACTGCGATGCAGTGCCTAGACCTTCCTCTTCATGGTTGCTCTCGCTAACTGCAGGGCTCGAGACGGCGACCATTTAGTCACATTTTGCGACCCTTTTACTTGCCTGTACGAGTTAACTTTTTAATTGGTCTCACTAGTGCGAGCTGCACTGTACCTGGTCACTTCAATCAAAACGTCCTATTTTTTGGATGGATAAAACCATGAATTTGTAAAGTGCATTATCCTCATGATTCCTTTAATAAGTGTCTGACCTGCCGCAGTGCCTGCCTGTTTCGCTGGGGCCGGCTGCTGTAATGAGCGAGCCGCTCACAATCTCTCCCCCCCTCGTGTACCCCTCGTGAACCCCTCGTGATTGCATAACATTTCCAAATGCAATTGCATTAAAAAAACGACTTTGGAAGCAACTAGTTGTCCATATTAAAGAGAGGAGGGACTCAGCTTTCTGTAAGTATACATTTTATTTCTCAATACTCATTATTGAGCTCAAAAGCACACTGTTTTACAATCTAGATATCGGAAATGGCTTTGAAATACGGAGCGTGCGAAATTGCGACTGCACTGGGCCTCATTGCATTTTTTAGGCCATTACATTCAACTGTTAGATTAATATACTGAACAAAAATATAAATGCAACAATTTCATTGCTTTTACTCAGTTACAGTTAATATGAGGAAATCAGTAAATTGAAATAAATTCATTAGGACCTCATCTATGGACTTCACATGACTGGGAATACAGATATGCATCGGTTGGTCACAGATACAGTACCCCCCCCCCAAAAAAAAGGGGCCTCAGGATCTCGTCATGGTATTTTTTGTGCATGCAAATTGCCATCGATAAAATGCAATTGTGTTCGTTGTTCGTAGCTTATGCCTGCCCATACCATAACCCCAGCGACACCATTGGGCACTCTGTTCACAACGTTGACATCAGCAAACCACTCACTCACACGACGCAATATACATGGTCTGCGGTTGTGAGGCCGGTTGGACGTACTGCCGAATTCTCTAAAATGACATTGGAGGTGGCTTATGGTAGAGAAATGAACATTCAATTATCTGGCAACAGCTCTGGTAGACATTCCTGCAATCAGCATGCCAATTGCACGCTCCCTCAAAACTTTAGACATCTGTGGTATTGTGTTGTGTGACAAAACTGCACATTTTAGTGGCCTTTTAGTGTCCCCAGCACAAGGTGCACCTGTGTAATGATTATGCTGTTTAATCAGCTTATTGATATGCCACACCTGTCAGGTGGATGGATTATCTTGGCAAAGGAGAAATGTTCACCAACAGGGATGTAAACAAATTAGTGCACAAAATTAGTGAGAAAAGCCTTTTGTGCATATGGAACATTTCTGGAATATTTTATTTCAGCTCATGAAACATGGGACCAACACTTTATATGTTGCATTTATATTTTTGTTCAGTGTACATGGCTACCAACAATGACGAGACAGCGTACAGGGAGGTGGTGAGGGCCCTGGCGGAGTGGTGCCAGGAAAATAACCTCTCCCTCAACGTCAACAAAACGAAGGAGCTGATCGTGGACTTCAGGAAACAGCAGAGGGAGCACGCCCCTATCCACATCGATGGGACCGCAGTAGAGAAGGTGGAAAGCTTCAAGTTCCTCGGCGTACACATCACTGACGATCTGAAATGGTCCATCCACACAGACAGTGTGGTGAAGAAGGCGCAACCTCAACCTCAAGACTCTGAAGAAATTCAGCTTGGCCCCTAAGACCCTCAGAAACTTTTACAGATGCACAATTGAGAGCATCCTGTCGGGCTGTATCACCGCCTGGTACGGCAACTGCACCGTGCACAACCGCAGGGCTCTCCAGAGGGTGGTACGGTCTGCGCATCACCGGGGGCACACTGCCTGCCCTCCAGGACACCTACAGCACCCGATGTCATAGGAAAGCCAAAAAGATCATCAAGGACATCAACCACCCAAGCCACGGCCTGTTCACCCTGCTATCATCCAGAAGGCAAGGTCAGTACTGGTGCATCAAAGCTGGGACAGAGAGACTGAAAAACAGCTTCTATCTCAAGGCCATCAGACTGTTAAATAGCCATCACTAGCCGGCTACCACCCGGCTACTCAACCATGCACCTTAGAGGCTTCTGCCCTATATACATAGACATGGAATCACTGGCCACTTGAATAATGTTTACATACTGCTTTACTCATCTCATATGTATATACTGTATTCTATTCTACTGTATTTTAGTCAATGCCCCTCCGACATTGCTCGTCCTAATATTTATATATTTCTTTATTCCATTATTTTACTTTTAGATTTGTGTATTGTTGTGAATTGTTAGATACTACTGCACTGTTGGAGCTAGGAACACAAGCATTTCGCTACACCCGCAATAACAATAACATCTTCTAAATATGTGACCAATAAAATTTGATTTGATTTACTAGCTGTAGGTGTTATATTTAGAGTTAGAAATCTAGCAACTGTTTTGAGTTTCCACTTCCTCAGGTGGTGAATTAGCACCAATTGAATTAGGCCTATATATAATATTAGTAAACAGAAAGATGAAAAAAATCTCTATTGAACAAAGAATTCTGAAAATTCTGGAGCCCTCTTTTGACAGTAAAATAACAAAAATATCCTAATTGTCAACCCAACATTCATGACAATCACTGGATTAGGTTGCATAATATCACAATATTTGGAATCATGCATTCCTGCTTGGACAAGTTAGTATTTAATAAAACGTTTTTATCTATCTCAGTAGTCTATTACACTTCTTAATAAAGCATTGTGATTGACTTTAGAATTACTTCATAAGACTCAAATGTATTCTATTGAGTAACGCTGCAAAATTGTTTTATGGGGGGTGCCACCAAATCATGGGCTGGTGCCACCAACTGAAAAAGTTAGTGGCACCAGTGCCACCCGGGATTTTTTTTTGTCTAGAGCCATGAACTGACTGAGCCTCAGGTAAAGAAGGTAAACAGGTCAGAAGGGTTTAAAACCAAAACACTGACAGGTCTAACCTGTGCATCTTTACATAAGAGCTGAGGCAATGTCAGGAAAACAGACCCAAATATGCAATCAATAGTATTGCATCACAAGTACAAATAACCAGATTCTTTACACCCGCTTTTGCTGGTGATTGCAAGAACACATTGTTGGGAGTTTCAGTGGACTATAAAGGGACACTTTTCTCTATTCTGTAGAAGTGTTTCTACAACTACAGAGAGAACGACAGACACCCACCTCTGAGTCTGGCCACCAGTGCTGCCAGTATAATGACCATACGCAAGAGGAGGACACAGTGAGATAATTAACATTATGAGCAACATGAAAAAGGGACTGTTGTTAAACACACACACAGATGCACAATTCACATCAAACAAACTAAAAACCAACCAGAGCAGGGCAGTCAATTTGATGGACAGGTCTCTCAGCCAATCAGACTGAGCGGGTGCCACTATTGGTACATCTTAATGCCACCATGTTGGAAGGTAACATTAAGTCAACTACACTGGTAAAGCCCTTATGAGTTCCTAGTTGGTTTTAAAACTACAGGGATTAAAATGGGGGTGATATCCACTGCAAATCTCCTCTCCAATGGTAGAAGTGATTACTGTACCTTCTGTGGGGGAGCCCATTTCCCAAGGGGGAGTAAACATTCCTCTCCAGTCTCTGAGGCCTGTCACCTTCTCCTCTCCCTCACTGGGGGCTGAGAATGAGATGGCAGGGCCAATTGGGGCCGCAGGGCATGGGAAACGGGGGGGTGAAGGGTGCCAGAATGGCATACAAGAGAGAATGGGTAGATTTGAGAGAGGTGGGCGAAGGTGGAATGGGTGTGGGTAGGGAGAATAATGGATGACAAATGAATGAATTCATCGAGCAACAAACAATGGCAGATAAGTGCAGAACGAGTGGTTCAGAGAGGGATAGAAGGAGGGGGGGTTGTTTGGTTTGGGAAACAATTGCATTATCATGAGGGGGTATCAAAGAGAAAAAAGGAGTTGGAAAGGACATGGAAAACAGTCGATAGCACGACATAACACTAGAAATTGGTGAGCAGCAGCTGTGACTCCAAAGCAAAAGTGAAATGAGTGATGAGACAAAGTTACAATATGGACGAGTGAGGCATCAATGACAGTCAACCATGATCCCCACAATGAGATTAGGCAAAAAGAGAGGGGGCACCTTGAAGTTTGTAAATTGTTCTCAATAACCTTGGGGCCATTGTATAGGAGCTTACCTAACAGTTAGGGCTCATAGAGGGAGTCACTAAATACACCAAGGTATAATAGGCTGTAATGGGCTTGGAGGGAAAAGAATACCTTGTAGATCAATCACCCTCTGAGCTGGTCATGCCCTGCTTTAGAGCCTCCGGGGATCACTGCCAAGGAAGTGAGCTGATGAGACAAGTATTAGGCTGATACGCCGGGGTGGAAAGTGTGTGTGTCAAAAACTGCACTGGAGAAATGCCATTGAGATAACTCAGGATTTAACGTGTAAGAGGGAAAGCAGAGCGGTCTTTATGAGTTTTCAGAGTCAGTCAGTCAGTACCTTTCTTGGGGGCTGTCCGTGACGAGGGACTGAAGAACTTCTTCACGGTGGTCACCTTGCGCGTCTTCTCGTTGGTCTTCTTCTCCTCGAACTTAGAGAAGGGGGCAAGTGATGCCTGGGGTTGAGCCTGGGCCCCCTGGATACTGGCATAGGCAGCCTCCTCCTCCTTCTGCAGCCTGAGGGAGACCCGGGGGAACAACTGGCGATTAGACTGTTTTACTTGAGGCTATTATTCAACAAACCGCTGGTGTCCTGTTTTAATTAGCATGTGTCAAGGGAGGGTAAGGGTTGGACGAAAGCTAGTAAAATTAACATTTCTTTAATGCTCCCAAACTCTTTCGATTATCATATATAAATCCTCTACTACCGTCTCAAGCTAGAATAGGATGTGGATAAGACAAACCAGCTTGATTCTGCTGGCCAGTGACCTGGGGCTGAATGTTGACATTCCCCAACAATGAGGCATCCCACATGAAACTCTGTGGTGTAAAAAAGTATCTACCCTGCCACTGAGGAAGGGCATACGTTTCGGCCTTAGATTTGAACCGTCTTGGCGAAAAGGAATGCACCACAGCACTGACGACACATTGCAATTGATTATAACCTTTCACAGGTGGGCCTACTTACTTCTCAGCCAGGGCCCAGTCCTCCTGGATCTGCTTCTGTCGGGCCCGCTGGTACTCTTCCCGCCAACACTTGGAGCATAGGCCCTGCCAGGCCACGTTGCCATAGTAACCACAGCCCTTGTTGCAGAGCAGCTCCGACTGGTCCACGTGGATCCCGCGGCGCTCCGTCCGCTGGTTCATCTCGCTGCCTGGCTGGAAGAACCTCAGCAGAGCTGGCTGGCTACTGGCAAGGAAAGATGACATCATGTTTGGGTTGTTTGAGACCAACTGGGACATTGAGGCAAATACTTGTCATCCAGTCACATTTATTTATTTTCCAAGCCATAGCACACAATATTTTACATACAGCAGGTTTTTAAAGGACCAAAGGGTTTGGTCGGCTTCGTGTTCGTTTTTGCCATGGTGTCATTGCACCTTAAAAAGCACTGAGAAATGAATCACAATGATTGCACCCAAATTGCCCATTATAATTCATAGGATTCATATAATAAATGTAGTACCTAACATCTGATTTGGAGCAAACTTTTTTCCAACAATGAGTTAGCCATGAGGAATCCAAAGAAATTGTCAAAAGCCACCCACGGATCCCCCCACACCAACGAGTATATAGTATCACTTCTCTATGTCTGACGAGTAGTATGGAGGTGCAACTCTGAGTATTGTTTCTTCATCCTATGTAATGTATTCCCGGGGAATTTTGTGATATTTTTTTTCTTCCTTCCTGTTCAGAGAAATGTATCTCCCAGTGTCTGTTGGAAAGCCAACTGAACCAGGTTTTGCCTGTGCTTAGCTTTATTCCATTTATTTATATCAACAACAACAAAACTCCCTAGTCCTTGAAGATGACAAGCATACCCATAACATGATGCAGCCACCACTATTCTTGAAAATATGAAGAGTGGTACTCAGTGATGTGTAGTGTTAGATTTGCCCCAAACATAAAGCTTTGTATTCAGGACAAAAAGTGCATTTCTTTGCCACATTTTTTGCAGTTTTACTTTAGTGCCTTATTGCAAACAGGACGCATGTTTTGGAATATTTTTTATTCTGTACATGCTTTTTCTTTTCACTTTGTAATTTAGGTTAGTATTGTGGAGTACCTACAATGTTGTTGATCCATCCTCAGTTATCTCCCATCACAGCCATTAAACTCTGTAACTGTTTTAAAGTCACCATTGCCCTCATGGCGAAATCCCTGAGAGGTTTCCTTCCTCTCTAGAAACTGAGTTAGGAAGGACACCTGTATCTTTGAAGTGACTGGGTGTATTGATACACCATCCAATATATATATGTTTTATCTACCAATAGGTGACCTTCTTTACGGGGCACTGGAAAACCTCCCAAAGATGATGGCCATGCATCGTTTTTTGCAAAAAATACCTTGCTTTTTCAAGCTAATTTACTTGTGTGGGTGCTCGCAAAATAGCTTCTGTTGTCATCTTGATGAAAAATATTTTCTGCCAAATGTGTTGCACTAATGTATTTTATGTGAAGAAAAACTATAGTTGCACACCCCTTATCACTCTATTGAAGTAAAATACCACTGTTGACTTTCAATATAAAACTCAGATGAAATGGTTTAAAACAGATTTTTATTTTATTTTATGGTCTGCATTTTGAAAACGCAGATTTCTGAAAGCTAATGCGACCCGAGGCTAGTGGAGAGATATAGAACAATATAGTAAATAAAATTTTAACATTTACTGGAAAAACTGTGCAGATGCAAAGTTTGGTAACAGAATTACGGTCAAATGTCCCTCAATTTTATTCTGTTACCAAACTTTGTATCTGCACAGTTCTTCCTGTAAATGTGTTTTTGTTCAATTTTCTGAGGAAATTGTTAAAAGTAGCCATTGTGCATAGTTTGTTAAACGTTGAAATCAATGTTTGTTTGGTATACATTTTAAAGTGAAAAACCTGAGTTTCAACGTAATTATGTTACCATGAAATTGCCTAGCAATAGAGTGAATGGTAGGTAACAGGACCCATTTCTACACAGCAGGAAGCAGACAGCCATTAGAGCATCAATATTTCAGCGTGATGCTGCTGACACTGCTGTGAGTTTAGCGCCAGAAGACAGTGTGGGCCCTTTGAACATTCTACTGTATCTTAGTCCATGCCGCTCTGACATTGCTCGTCCATATATGTATATATATATTCTTACTTCATTCCTTACATAGATTTGTGTGTATTGGGTATATGTTGCGAAATTGTTAGATATTACTTGTTAGATATTACTGCACTGTCGGAGATAGAACCCGCAATAACATCTGCTAAACACGTGTATGTGACCAATCAAATTTGAACCAGGATAGAGGCTAAAGAGAGTGCAGCTTGAAGCTAACAGTTCACATTACCGTTTTCAACTCCATAGACTGGACAACACATGACTCACTGTGTGGTCAACTTCACACACACATTATAGTGGAAGGAGACAGCGAGGTGCTTCCCAAGCTCAATGCATTTGACAAGGTTTTCTAAAAGTGTGCTAAGCTGTGCTGAGCAGACCCTACATCTCTGTAGGCTGTTGCTGTAGCAGATTGTTTTGACAACAGAGGTTAGGGTTAGCCATCAGCCTAGCTCTACCACTGCAAATAAATATGGTTTAGGTGGAGAAAACAGCACATAGGCCTAGCATACATTTGAGATGGTTTGCTTGCTATTATTATCACTAAAAAGCTTGCCTGGCAGCGACTAAAACTACCATATGGTGTGAATGGGATACAACAGCTCCCTGCGCTGCCATCAATGTGTAGCTACTTCACCAACCAATTAGACTATAATAGCCAGGCCCTTTAAAAGCTGTAAGCCATGTGCAGTTTCTGTGATGATGCTTATGTTCATAACCATGTCACTGTAGTTGTGGCTCCTGAATATTGATTTTGTGAATGATCTCCAGTCACTAGAAATTTCCCCCAGAAGAAATTGAGGTAGGACAGCGTGTCCTTCAAAACAGAGAAACCATTCACCTGCAGCTTGAAGTTGTACATAGTACTATGAATGAGTGACAGTATGGGTTAAAACCTGGTTTAGCCCACTCTCAAGCTGGCGATGGATCCCCACCTGTAGTTTATATGACTGATTGCTTACATCAACAATAACATGGCAGAAGCATGTTTGGTTGGTTAGCTAGCTATCATGTATAAAGCAAAAACACACAAAGATAAGCCGAAGACAGGGGAGCGTGTTCAGCAGGTTACAAGCATAAATGGGGTTTCAGCACAAAGCGTTAGATTTTGTCAAACAACGTGCCAACACAACAACTCAATGGCAACAATTGATAGCTAGCTGACTAGGCAACTAACCAGTGTGACGTAATTAGCATGCTAGCTAACAGTAGGGTCACAGATATAACAACGAGACAGATATTCCACCGGATGTATAAATGTGAAGCATCCGCTTGGCGTTTCCACTCACTACCAAATATAGTAGTGAGAGGAAGCCCACTGTTCGGCAGTGGGAGAAGACGCAACGAGATGGATTTTGGCCGACATTCTGCAAATTTTCTCATCGATGAAACATTTGATCTCAATACAGCTTTCTGTTCCAAAAACTAGAATCTGTTATGAACACTTCACAGGGGGCGTTCCCAAACGGAAATATACAGATGTCTACTAGAACGCGCCAATAGGATCTCGCTAGCTCATGCTTGGCTCTGCGCACCTCCTTGCTTGCTCTGCCCACTATGACTAATTTGTTCCCACTGGAAGCGACAGGCTGTGGTCTATCTTGGCTTAGTTATAAACATCTTTGATAAGGTATATTTATGTGTAGCTAGCTATTAAATAGCTAGCAAGCTAAAGTTAGCTAAATTGTACTTACATTTTGGCTGTTATAAACATGCCGTAGCTAACTGTTCTACAACTAACTTTACAAAGCATAATCCTTACCTTTTTTCAGAGCGAGTCCTAGGACGAGCTAGCTTCTTTAGTAGCCCTGACTGTGGCTGGGAACTGTCTGGAGAGGTGGAGCATACTCTCGAGTCTCTGTCACGTAATAATAAGGAATTCCCTCGACCACGCCCACATATTGGAGAATACAAACATTCTTTCCCATTCACCCCATTGTAGAAGAGCCAAGTCCGTCGTGGATTTTTAGTTTCACAGAAATAACAAAACATGCCGGAAAATTGCTGTGTTGTTCAATGTACATGTAACCAGGTCAAAGATCCCGACCTACCGATCGCAAAGCTTCCATGTAGTGAAATAGAGCCTGCGAGAAGAGCCCTGTGGTTTCAGGCTATTATTCAGCGGACCTGTGTCCAAGTAGGCTACAAGTAGTGTAAAACATTTCATCACAGGTAGCTAAGACATTTAACTTGTTTAGTGTAGTGCATTTGTAACTCCACTAACTACTTGTAGTTGTATATTCCATTTGTTTGAGTTGTTGGTCTCTTGGCTAGCATAATGTTCCGGTTGGTAGCTAGCCCTCACTCACATGGCTGGTAGCACCATCATGAAAAGGTGTGTAGTGAGTAGTGAGAACGCTCTGGAGCAGGCAATGTTTAAAAGGAACCTTTAGACATGTACTTTTCTTAAATTTAGTTTTGTAATTGACTAAAACAAGCAGTCAACAAGAAAATTGCGTTTGAAAGTCAATGGAGGTAACCACAGGTTATTCTCACAGGCAGGCGTTCTATCTAATACCGACTGGGACTATTGGAATGGTGGAGTGCAGTAACATTCATGTAATTCATTGTACTGTGTATTTTTTCCCTGACCCTAAATGCCTTCAACCATTCGAATTCCTCAGTCAGTACACCAACTATGTGGAATATTTTGATATATATGAGAGAGCTGCATCTTGAAGCTAGATAATATTAGGCTTATGATTAATAAGACACAGATCATTGCCAAGAAGCCGAGGGAGCGATGCCATCCCGGTAAAGAACAAGGAGGCCCGCACACTGCTAAAGCTCCCAATTCACCTCTTTATTGACAACGTTTCGATCCAAAACAAATTTTTAACAGCCTTCTTGTTCTTTACTATAATTATTTATTAGCCCAGCACCTATGTTTTTAAGGATGCGCGTATGACCACAAACTTTTCTAGAGATTACAGCCTGGTCATAATGTGGTCAATCAAAAAAATTGCCTAGTTGTGCTGGTGCCAAGTTGTTGCACTGATGAATTTGACACATATGAACCTGGTTTCAATGAGAGATCAGCAACTAATCCCAGGTCCGGAACTCCATCCACATGTTTTCAATTTAGGAAACTGGAGTTATTTGGTAGGCTGCTTTGTTAATTTCATGGAAGTACTGTAGTTGGCAACTTGAACCATTGGCACATTGTATGCATAACATTATCCAGCGATCCAGCCCGGAAGAAGAAAACACGACCACAGAGACTGATCATTTTATACAGACTAAGGCAAACTGTATTTGTACCTTGTTATAAAAACAAAAAATATACATGACTTAGTATTAGCACAATAGAGCATTACAACAAATAATGCAATATGTAAGTTAAAGCAAGATATTATTCTTGAAAAATTAGGCCACTGGTCAAGCTGTGCATTGTTTTTCAACTTTCCCATGCCATGAGCAGCCTAGACAACATGGGCCAGCTATGGAATCTGCAAAATACTTTCACCAGCCAGGGGAGAAACTTCAATAAGGTGCAAGGAATGTTCATCAAGTCTAAGTTGCCTAAAATGCTGAAATAAATAAATACAATTATATTCTAACCCCCAAACCATCCCTGCAATTCCATTTTAAAAGATTGAAGGCTCTATCTGTGACAGGCTTCATAAAATCGACAAAATCCAATCAATTGACACACAACAGTAAGAAAGTGGCAACTCTTAACACTTGTTGTCAATCACTCAGCCTAGCATCATAGAGAGGGAAAATAAGGTCACATTATCCAAGCCAAACTTAGAGACCTGTGTAAGATGACATCAATAGCACAAAACAAGTAAAAAATACTATCTACCTTGATCCACCTGACTGACACCCAGTAATAACATACTATATTGTTTGGTCTGTTATAAAGCATTAATAGGCCTATACCGGAACAACCCAGCTGTCTGGACATACAGTAATGTGTTGTTTGTTCTGTTATAAAGCATTAATAGGCCTATACCGGAACAACCCAGCTGTCTGGACAGACAGTAATGTGTTGTTTGTTCTGTTATAAAGCATTAATAGACCTATACCGGAACAACCCAGCTGACTGGACATACAGTAATGTAGTGTTGTAAATGTATTTCATTCTGCAAACCATCAAGTCATGGATTCACATACATTGCACATAATCATTTTGATCCTGAGCCCTCTATAACAAGAACTTGTAGCCTACTCTGTGAAAATGTAATGTAATTGAATGAACATATCAATCTGACATCTGTATAAATCTAATGCATATTCATTAATTAACTAAACAACAACATGGGGAACAAGAAAGAAAACGGAACTAACCCATGGGGGAGGTGACAATAGTGTCACTGCAGTTTTCCTTGATCATACAAAATTATAGTGTGGTTTCCTGGTTTAAGCTCCATGTAAGTGAAACAGTTGCCCTTAGGAAAAGGCACTTAAGCTGAATTTATTTAATCAGTAGAAATATCATGTCATATAAAATTATCATTTGAAACTTGTATGACTAATCTATGTCATGCTGCAAAAGAAGATGGAATTGTTGAAGCATATGTCAATATAATGGCAAATATAGAGTCTCATAAAAAATCTGCAAAATTGACAACTCGAGAGTTTGGGATTATAAGGTTCTATCTGCAAAAACATGATTCTGAGATAATTGGTATTAAAGTTCGGAATCCTCATTGGTTTGAATGGTATCAGCAATTTTTATATTTTATTCTTTTGAAATTAACATGAATTGGGGTATTTGGAGTACTATATAGGTAGAGAACATTGAACAGAACAAGGTTATGTCAATAACTCAATTTTGACAAAAATGCAGATATAACTTTATAGTCCCAAACCCTTGAACTGCTTCTAACGACAATGAGCTAAAGATGGATGTCACCACATACATTGCATTGCAAAAAGTATATGGACACCTGCTCGTCAAACATCTCATTCCAAAATCATGGGCATTAACATGGAGTTGGTCCCCCCTTTGCTGTTATAACAGCCTCCACTCTTCTGGGAACGCTTTCCACTAGATGTTGAAACATTGCTGTGGGGACTTGCTTCCATTCAGCCACAACAGCATTAGTGAGATCGGGCACTGATGTTGGGCGATTAGGCCTGGCTCGATTTCGGTGTTCCAATTCATCCCAAAGGTGTTCGATAGGGTTGAGGTCAGGGCTCTGTGCAGGCCAAGTTCTTCCACACCGATCTCAACAAACCATTTCTGTATGGACCTCGCTTTGTGCACTGGGGCATTATCATGCTGAAACAGGAAAGGGCCTTCCCCAAACTGTTGCCACAAAGTTGGAAGCACAGAATCGTCTAGAATGTCATTGTATGACATAAGATTTCCCTTCACTGGAACTGAGGGGCCTAGCCCGAACCATGATAAACAGCCCCAGACCATTATTCCTCCTCCACCAAACTTTACAGTTGGCACTATGCGTTCTCCTGCCATCGGCCAAACCCATATTCGTCAGTCGGGCTGCCAGATGGTGAAGTGTGATTCATCACTCCAGAGAACGAGTTTCCACTGCTCCAGAGTCCAATGGCGGCAAGCTTTATACCACTCCAGCCAACTCTTGGCATTGCGCATGGTGATCTTAGGCTTGTGTGTGGCTGCTCGGCCATGGAAACCCATTTCATGAAGCTCCTGATGAACAGTTCTTGTGCTGACGTTGCTTCCAGAGGCAGTTTGGAACTCGGTAGTGAGTGTTGCAACTGAGCACAGACTATTTTTACACACTTCAGCACTCGGCGGTCCCATTCTATGAGCTTGTGTGGCCTACCACTTTGCGGCTGAGCCATTGTTGTTCCTAGATGTTTCCACTTCACAATAACAGCACTTACAGTTGACCGGGGCAGCTCTAGCAGGGCAGAAATGCGACGAACAGACTTATTGGCAAGGTGGCATCCTATGACAGTTACGTTGAAAGTCACTGAGCTCTTCTGTACGGGCCATTCTACTGCCAATGTTTAAATATGGCGATTGCATTGCTGTGTGCTCGATTTTATACACCTGTCAGCAACGGGTGTGGCTGAAATAGCCAAATCAACTAATTTGAAGGTATGTCCACATACTTTTGGCCGTGTAGTGTATATGTAGTGTTTTCTTAGCTTTTTAAGTGTAAATTACTTTTAGCAGCACATTAAAATGTTCCTTCTGCTATAGAAACCCCTTCAGAGACATAGAAATTCTGGGGCAGTAAGATTTTACTTACAGGAAGCACATGCACCATTTTCAACTGCCATATAAACATTTCCAGTTAAAAAAACATCTGGGATCTCTCAAGAGGAAACTGAAGTAAAATAACTTTGACCATGCCCCTTTAACCTATTTGATTTTGAACTCTCTAATTTCCTTTGGGTCTCTCAAACTAGAATGTTAAAAAGAGAATGACTTTCCAAAGCCATGCTGATCACAGACTGTATAGCAAAGAAAATCGACACTTACTGGTGTCTCTAACCTAGGACTTCTAAATCTTTGCTGGAGAGTAAGTGACAGAAAATATCATGTATAAATCAAAGACCAGCATCAGTAACAAAAATATACATTTACATGTAGCTATATACAGTACATTAGCAATATTTCACCAGCTTGCTTAATTGCATCCAGTTGAGTTGTGAAGGCTTTCTCTCTCGCGACCAACAAAGTGGTTACCACAGAAACGCACAACATAGAATACCTCACAGCATAAGTAGGAATGAAGACAAAGGGACAGACAACACTGTAATCACAATATGAGATTAACTTGACCCTTTTCTGAAAAACCTTGGACGGTCCACAAGGTTGGATGAGAACAAAAACTCCCGGAGTTTAACAAGCAAAAAATAAGAAGCAGTCAATGAGACCCTAGGTAAATACTGTTAACAAAAAAAAAAACACAAAGGAAACATTGGTCACAACTATTCAGTTAGGAAACAGAAGCACAAAAACCAGACTCAGCACTTCATAGGTTTCAGTTCTTGAAAAGGGAGAATAACACTGACTACCCCTATTCTCTCTCATCCTGAAGGACCAGGAAGGAGATCAGTTGGCCTATCACAACAGGAGTCCGCCTCACAACTCAGACAGGAAGGGAGGAAGCTCTTTCTTTCTCCTGCTTTACCACCATGTGATCTTGAACTCGTAGATGGGCCTCTTGCAGTAGTAGTGGTTGATGAGGTGTTTGTCACAGACACCAATGCACTGCTGGTCGGCAGTGATGCCACGCTCCGCCAGGTCACTGACAATGCAGTGGAGCAGGTCGTAAACGTCCGCCACCGCCTCCCAGGGCCCGAACGACACGTCCACCTCACAGTGGTGCTCGAACAGCTTAGCCTCGCTCTCCGTGCGCTCGAAGCGCAACGAGTTGAAGAGCGGCCGCTCGTACGGCGTGATGGGCATCTCCTCCTTGTACACACAAATCTTCAGCTTGGCGAAGCGAGCCTTCCTCTGCATGGCCCGCAGCTTGGCGATCTCCACGATGCGCTGTAGATTATCTGGAAACAAAACAAGGGATAACTTACTTCACTCAAGTTCTAACTTTTCTAAAGGAGTTAATTGACACATTTCCATTTACTTCACACATTTCTACTTTATTGAAGTAGAAACTTTGAATATGTAAATAACTTCAATAGTCAATGCCACTTAAAAGTAAGCATGTTGTTGCGACATTACCATCTGTAATAAGGTTAGCTGGTCAAATGACCCAGTTAAATTCAGTGTGTGAGATTAGAGTGCTGGTTACCCTTGTAGTAGGGCAGGAGGTCGAGGAAGGCCTGGCGGACTTTCTCTCCTGTGAGTGGCTGAGTGTCCTCCAGGCTGTCTAACAGGGGACCAATAGCATAGTACTGGGCCTCCCTGTGTACTGCCCTCACACGATCCCTCTGAGGTAGTTCACCCTCGCGCAGGAAGTTCAGGATGTCCCTATACAAGGGACATGCAAACACGCAAACACACACGTTGTTTTTTGTTAAAATTGCATCCACTATCCTCAATAATCTGTTCATTCAACCTTGTCTAGACTTGGATAGCCTACCTTGCCATTTTGTCAGTCAACCTGTTAATGGCGCTTTCATGTCAAATGTGTTGTAGAACAAGGGACTGGCATGCTCACTCACTATTATTAGCATGTAATAAGCATGTTTTGCTGCAGGCTATTTGAAGAGAGCTCACCCGAAATATGCCCCATCCCGGTCAATGAAGAAGTGACCTTCAGCATCAAGTGGGATGTGATGGCGTCCACTAAACATGGCGGCGAGCATGGTGTCCTCATAGCGCCGTAACGTGGACAGACGGGTGGTGAAGTAGGTCCCGCCAACGTTGAGAGAAATAACCTCAGGAAACTACAGGTGATTGGATAAAATCAGGAAAAAGTGCATTATCCATTTTGGAAAATCGGTACATAAAATACAGTACACTTATTTTTGTAAAAAAATGTGTATATTTTTCATTTATATTGCATTCTTGACACCATAATCATGAATTGAAAAAATGACATTACTTTTGTATAACATTAGACCAATATTCCTGTGATGTGCAAATATAGAACTCCTCAACAATAAATAACTATAATGTCATTGTCTTTTGTTTCCCTCTAATCTTCCTCTGCAGATGCTCCACAGTAGCATAATAACACCAGCAATAACATGATGGGATTAGTGAGGATACTATACTAATCACAGGGCAGATCTTGACAGGACATATTGGGCCCATCAACACAAGTGACAGTCACTGGACATGACACCGTAGGCAAGGGTTTCCCTAGACACGATTAAAGAAGGTCAATCCCAGCAAGGGGCTGTCACAGATAATAACAGCCATGTGATAAGAGCCAATTGGGACAGGGAGCCAGCCCTCTGTGTGGGGTGTGAACCAATCAGGGTAAAGATCACACTGGAAGAAGAACTACATGGTTTATGCTGTTGCCTGTGGAGATTGATCCATAGCCTATAATTTACAGAGGTGGAACGCGTGGGAAAGAAACGGTCAAAAATAATGCTAAATTGCACAGACTAGGGTGCAAAGATAAAGAGGTGCTTCTCAGCGAAAGCGACGTTTATGACAGTTTATATATCCATGGCCACCACTGCACTCACGTCCTAAACCAATTTAATCCCCACAACGTTCCCAGAATAAACAACAACAAACGCCCATCTCGTCCTTACCTCTGGAGATGGAGATGCGTTAAAGGTGGTGCGAAGAGACCTGCCCAGATTTAGGTTCGGTGCGGGGGTGGCTGGCTTTCGGAAATCATCCACCGCAGAGTCCGAACTCGACATTGCATCGCCTGGTTTATCAATCTCACTTGCGGCCGAGAATACCACCATCACTCTCGGCTGAGGGAGCGCTCGCCTCTCCTGAGCGAATCTCCTTACCCGTGAAGGAGCCACGGGTAACGGGCTGGAGTTGTTGAAAGAGAGCGGCGGTCGTTCTCCGTTAGAAGCCTCGTCAGATTCATAATGCTGCATGCACACACACCAGGTCAAGTCAATCCAATCGCCAAGGATAAAGCACAATCCACGTTTGCTTGTGAGGGAATAACACTGGCATCAACCTAGGGTGGGACGTGTCAGCTGATAGGGACGGACACTTACAGTATGCCATGAGCTAGTCTACCTTATCTACTTTGCTTGAACTCCTACTAACGCCCTCTGACATACTGCTATACGGTAGATTGGAGTAGAAATGTATCTGAGGAGAAGCCTCAAACTGCTACGGCCACGGAGCGTCTGTTCTGTGGGCTACTCTAGCCTACAGTGGGTTGCTTAGCCTACGTTTAATTCGTATCTTGTGTCTTTCAAGGATTCATAAAATGCGTATGTTACGCTCTATACAGAGACTAACCAATGGCAAACATGATTTTATACAGAAAAAACCCACAAACTTTTCAAAAATGATTTGATATAGCCTACGAATAATATTAGCCTAACAGTTAACTCAATAAGAAATGTGGGAAGATCAAATGTTGCAGGCTCCAGATAGCACGACAAATCATAAAGTGCTGCTACAATGTAAACCCCATACTAGGCGTGATAATATTCACAGGTCAGGTTGTAAAAATGTTTTGGCCTTGCATCACTAGGTTACTTTGCTATAAGGTAACCACCAAGCTGCAATATAGTTATTTTGACTTCTTTAAATGTTTTATCTCCACAGAGTCCAACTCTTGTCCCTTTCCTAAAATACCTGGATGTGCCACCCAATACACATAAGCTTTTACTTCACACATGCCTTTTGGCCGAGGCTTCTTAATTAAATATCTTAATTTACTGTATTTTTAAACAAATGAAATATCACTATTGTTCTACCAACAAAATTCTGAGTAAAGGGTCTGAATACTTATGTAAATGTGATATTTCAGTTTTTTGTTTTTTATAAATTTGCTACAAAATGTACAAACCTGTTTTTGCTTTGTCATTATGGGGTATTGTGTGTAGATTGATAAGGATTTATTTTATTGTATCCATTTTAGAATACGGCTGTAATGTAACAAAATGTGGAAAAAGTCAAGGGGTCTGAATACTTTCCAAATGCACTGTTAGGTGGAGCCCCAGACATGACTGATTACAGCGACAAATCTGCTCCTTGGATCTTTGACAAGAGGAAACATTCTCCATTCCTACTGATGAATGATGCTCATTAATGAAGAACCATTAGGCTAGAAGTAGACAGTATGAGGGAAGCCACACTACCAAATAACTTCCCCTCACTCCTATTCATAATTGATACAAACATGCTTCTTGCAGTGAAAAAACATAATTCAGCCTTATACCCCAGATTCTCCTGGCTAGTATAATTGATTGAATAGGTTCATCAGTGTGTGCAGTGAAGTGGGTTTAGGCTGATCCCGTCAGAGGACTGCTGGGTGCAGTACAGTGACTATGTACTGCTGGATTCCCCACCAAGGCCTTCTGTTTATTTATTGACCTAATTATCTCTCTTGCAAGGAAATGTTCCCCTGTGTTCCTAGCCAGATGGGACATCCTGTAATCTCTTTAAAAACAGTAAGTGTATCAAAAGATGGAACAGAAATTAATTAATTAACGCTTTAGTAAATTGCAAAAAATTATATATCATATGGTAATAAAGTGGGGTCCGAAATTATTGACACTCTTGATAAAGATGAGCAAAATGACTGTATAAAATAAATAATTCAAATACTGAGCTACAGTTGAAGTCAGAAGTTGACATACACCTTAGCCAAATACATTTAAACTCAGTTTTTCACAATTCCTGACATTTAATCCTAGTAAAACTTCCCTGCTTAGGTCAGTTAGGATCACCACTTTATTTTAAGAATGTGAAATGTCAGAATAATAGTAGAGAGAATTATTTATTTCAGCTTTTATTTCTTTCATCACATTCCAAGTGGGTCAGAAGTTTACATACACTCAATTAGTATTTGGTAGCATTCCCTTTAAATTGTTTAACTTGGGTCAAACGTTTCGGGTAGCCTTCCACAAGCTTCCCACAATAAGTTGGGAGAATTTTGGCCCATTCCTCCTGAAAGAGCTGGTGTAACTGAGTCAGGTTTGTAGGCCTCCTTGCTCGCACACACTTTTTCAGTTCTGCCCACACATTTTCTATAGGATTGAGGTCAGGGCTTTGTGATGGCCACTCCAATACCTTGACTTTGTTGTCCTTAAGCCATTTTGCCACAACTTTGGAAGTATGCTTGGGGTCATTGTCCATTTGGAAGACCCATTTGCAACCAAGCTTTAACTTCCTGACTGATGTCTTGAGATGTTGTTTCAATATATCCACATCATTTTCCTTCCTCATGATGCCATCTATTTTGTAAAGTGCACCAGTCCCTCCTGCAGCAAAGCACCCCCACAGCATGATGCTGCCACCCCCGTGCTTCACGGTTGGGATGGTGTTCTACGGCTTGCAAGCAACCCCCTTTTTTCTCCAAACATAACGATGGTCATTATGGCCAAACAGTTCAATTTTTGTTTCATCAGACCAGAGGACATTTCTCCAAAAAGTACGATCTTTGTCCCCATGTGCAGTTGCAAACCGTAGTCTGGCTTTTCTTATGGCGGTTTTGGAGCAGTGGCTTCTTCCTTGCTGAGCAGCGTTTCAGGTTATGTCGATATAGGACTCGTTTTACTGTGGATATATAACTTTTGTATCTTTCACAAGGTCCTTTGCTGTTGTTCTGGGATCGATTTGCACTTTTCACACCAAAGTACGTTAATCTCTAGGAGACAGAACGCGTCTCCTTCCTGAGCGGTATGACGGCTATGTGGTCCCATGGTGTTTATACTTGCGTACTATTGTTTGTACAGATGAACGTGGTCCCTTCAGGCATTTGGAAATTGCTCCCAAGGATGAACCAGACTTGTGGAGGTCTACAATTTCTTTTCTGATTTCTTTTGATTTTCCCATGATGTCAAGCAAAGAGGCACTGAGTTTGAAGGTAGGCCTTGAAATACATCCACAGGTACACCTCCAATTGACTCAAATTATGTCAATTAGCCTATCAGAAGCTTCTAAAGCCATGACATCATTTTCTGGAATTTTCCAAGCTGTTTAAAGGCACAGTCAACTTAGTGTATGTAAACTTCTGACCCAATGGAATTGTGATACAGTGAATTATAAGTGAAATAATATGTCTGTAAACAATTGTTGGAAAAATTACTTGTGTCATGCACAAAGTAGATGTCCTAACCGACTTGCCAAAACTAGTTTGTTACCAAGAAATTTGTGGAGTGGTTGAAAAACGTGTTATAATGACTCCAACCTAAGTGTATGTAAACGTTCGACTTCAACTGTATATTGTATGCAAAAAAAAGGGACAATTATATTATTTTATACTAATAAAATTGCTCAGAGAAAGAGATTTTGTTTAACAAGTAAATACTTTTATTTCTCAAAAAGATAGGGGTCACTATAATTGACAGCCGTTTCCATTACCTTTCAATACCTCACCTTGCGAGGATAACGGCACTGAGCCTTTGTAAAATGTTTTATGAGTGCGTGGCCAAAGAGCTCTATTTTCATGTCATCTGACCATAGCACTGGTTCCAATCCAAGTGCCAATGCTGTTTAGAGAACTCCAGGCGTTTACATTTGTTATTTGATATGAAAATAGTGCTCTTTGGCCATGCACACCAGTGGTGGGTTTGGCGTAGAAATAAGGACGCATAAGCTGAAAAGAACCCCATACCTACTGTAAAATATGGTGGTGGATCTTTGATATTATGCGGCTATTTTGCTTCCACTGGTCCTGGGACCCTAGTTAAGGTTAACGGCATATGAACTTTACCCAGTACCACGACATTTTAGCCCAAAATCTAGTTGCCTCTGCCAGGAGGCTGAAACTTGGCCGCCATTGGATATTCAAGCAAGACAATAAACCCAAGCACATATCCAAATCCACAAAGAAATAGTTAATTGATCACAAAATCAACATTTTGCAATGGCCATCTGAGTCTCCGGGCTTGAATCCCATTGAAAACTTGTGGTTTGAATTGAAGAGGGCAGTCCATAAGCGCAGACGAAGGATATCAAGGATATGGAAAGGGTCTAAGATCCCTCCCAATGTGTTCTCCAATCTCATAATACATTTTAGAAAAAGGCTCAGTGTCTTTATCCTTGCAAGGTGAGGTATTGAAAGGTATTAAAAACAGGGGTGTCAATCATTTTGACCCCTATCTTTTTAAGAAATACAATTATTACTTGTTAAACAAAATATCTTTCTCTGAGAAATGTTTGCATACAATATAGCTCAGTATTAGAAAATAAATAAATACATTATACAGTCATTTTTGCTCATCTTTATCAAGGGCGTAAATCATTTCGGACCCCACATGGTGATATGATAAAGGTGTATTCCCTACTTTTCTACCTTTTGCAATGTATCACTTGTTTATTTAACAAACTATTACTTATTTACTTTGCAAAGTAGCTTTGTGCCAAAATAAACAAGTGATAGTTTGCGAGTGCAGTGTGCAGGATCTTATTTTCTCTAAACTGTTCCCCAAAAATTATATGCACCTGCAAAGCAATCCCTAGATGTGTAAGTGCATTTAACCTTTGTTCCAAATTGAATGATTATGTAATGTATGTGGTATAAGTGCATTGTAACGTAAAATATGACCAACACGAATTACACAAATGATTTATCTTTATTAATCACCAATTATTATTTAGCTTTATGCATTAACTGAACTTGTTTTGAATCATCTTTATCGAAATATGATTCCCTGTTGAATTTGAAGGGGAACCCTTTTATCTTTGAATCAGATAATAAAACCCCTCAAGTTCCACATAATATACTGACAGCGTACATGCACAGTGATTAATGTGAACATCACAGTGTCAGTTCACAGCTGCATGCCCTAATGACAACTGTTCACTTCAAAGGCAGAGTTAATGACTTAGAAATATAATTCCTCTATGGTTGACACACAATGACAAAACATGTCTGACTCCAATGCTGACAGACAAATGATTATCAGGC